AGGGAGGTGTCGGTGACGGGCCATAATAATCTTATACAGTGTATATTGACAAAATAAAAAAAAAATAAAAAAAAAATTTAAAAAAAAGCTTTCTTTCTGCCTGCTACATATCTCCCTCAAAAATTCTCAAGAAATGTGAGTTCTTCCACTCCTTTCCCCTTACAGAGCAGATTAAAAACAAATGCTCCCTACAACATCTCTATCTTAGAAAAGGACCTGAATACAATTAAAGAGTTTCTTCCAAGTTTATGGTAGAAGCAGATCAAATCATAAGCATTTTTCCTTATGACAGGTTCTTTAATGAAATTTTAAAAATTGGTTGTGTAATAGTCTATATTGGATACAAGAGATTTAATCATTCTTCTATATTAGATATTTTGGTTGGACAAAATATTAAAGTCCTTCTCAATTCTGAGAGTTTACATGACTACTTATATATCTGGATTATCTTGTTACCAGCTATCACTCTCCATCCCTCAGTGTACGCATTCCTTGTTCCTGAGTTAGAGGATACTGATGTACCATGATCCAGAATCACAAAGATGTCATTCTAAACCAGTACATCCTGTTCAACTATAAATAGAACCTTGTTCCTGGTGTGCCACTCTTAGGGATTCCCAAGGAAGACCCCTGATTTCTGTGTATGCAAGACCCAGCCATATCCCTACCCAGTCCTAAAAGCCTCACAAAGCATGAGATCTCACCATATACTGAGGCTGAGGACAACCAACAACAAATCTTATCTTATATACTTGTAAAACTGAAGTCTGGAAAAGTTCAGAGTTTTCCTATGAGTGGTTAAACAGGCCTATCAATTCATAAAGGATGGTCATATATCTTCTTCAAGGGATTTCATTTCTGCTCCATCCTGGTTTTTCAATATTCTGCTCCATTCTTTTAGCAGAATACTGAACACATATAGGAGATCCTGAATAAATCTGTTGATGAACTGTAACTGGAAAAAGGAGGGTTCCTAGGATAGGCATTGTGATATTTATCTTCATCCTTCACTGGATTTGGAAGAACTGGGAAAAGGGTCATAGATGGGGCTCTGATAGGTAGAAAGTTTAAGGATAAAGAAATGTTCACAGGACCTTAACATGACAGTATTTCTAGAAGGAGAAAGAAACAGTAACTTACATAGTCCATGGTTTAGAAATTCAAGAACTGGTCAGTCTTCCTTGGCGCTGATTTGACAGGAGAAGCACAGAGGCTAGAGCTAGGGAGAGGAAAATAAGACCGTGAGATCAGATATGTCTCAGAACTCCCCAAATGACTTAATATGACCTTCTTCCCTTTTCTGATCTTCCACAGTACACACACACACACACACACATTGAGGGAATCTGGACAAATCTAGTCCCTCATAAATTCCAGGGCTGATAAGGGGCCACATCATCTAAACCAGAATTTCCTTCAAAGTCTCGTAGGCCTGCTTGGATTCACCAAACATAAAGAGAAAAATCCATGGGGACCAAGCCTGGCAGACATTATCACTGCAAAACTACTGTACTGACATCTCTGTTTACCTGCAGCCAGGACAACAAATTCCGAAAGTCTCTGGGCTCATCATTCTCTATTTCCAATCAGAATCATCCATCCACATTGCTTTCCTGCATGACTTCATTTGCCACTCTCTTTCTTACAAACTAGGCTGAAGAGACATGGATCCAACATTCTTGGCAGCTAGACAATAACACATATCAATTTATCGAGAACTTCCATGTGACGGATGTTTTATATACAATAACTGTACTCTCAGGATTGTTATTTACCATAACAATTATTTTACCCATGCAATGGATCAGAAAATTCACCCTAAAAGAAGTGAAATCACTTGTTTATAAGTAGCAAGCTGCATCTGGAATCCTCATTTTTCTAACCACAAGCCAACTCTCATTCTACTCTAGCTCTGGCCTCTCAAATTCAGAATTGCTTGGTCCAATCAGAGAAACCTGGCATACATGATTTAGTAAAACACAAATAACACATCAAATCACTAAAAGATATTAAATCTCACTTTAAGAGTATCGATGCCCATATTAGCAAGTATGGGAGGAAATCAACATTCTAACCAGTATACTGCAGACTATGTGAATTTAAAAATATGTATAAGAACACTGAAACCATGTAAACCTTTTGACCCTGAAATTCTACTTTGGGGATTTAAGGAAATAGCTGTACATGTGGTCAAAGATAAGAGTGTATTAACAGACACTGTTCATAATGAAAAAAAGCTGGAAAGAACCTATATGTCCTTCAACAGGAAACAGATTAAATAAATCATAAAGAATCTATAGAGTAAAAAAACTGTTGTCATTTAAAACTGATGATGTATACCTGTACTTGGAAAGATGGGACTATGCTTACTACATGTTTCTGAGTAAAGAACACAGGTAACACACAGTTATGAGTAGAGTAATCTTGTTAAAGCAGGGCAAAAACGTGTGTGTAGGGGGTTTACTAATGAGGTTACTTCAAAAAGCTCATGGAAAAATAGAATTAAAAGATAATGCAGGGCTGGCCCGGTGGCGCACTGGAGAGTGCGCCGCTTGGGAGTGCGGCGGCGCTCCTGCTGAGGGTTCAGATCCCATGTGGAGACCGGTTCCCGCTCACTGGCTGGGCGCAGTGCGGGCGCAACACCGAGGGTTGCGATCCCGTTGCCAGTCCCCGGTACGGGCGCGGCACCGAGGGTTGTGATCCCGTTACCGGTCAGTAAAAAAAGACAAAAAGGAAAAAAAAAAAAAGATAATACAAATCTTTCCATGAACTTTTTGAAGACCCTTCATATATCCATGTATGTGCACAGTAATCGCTAAGTGCTACGTTTTAGAAAATATATAAGGTCATACAAAATATTCAAAATACATAATCTTTTTATGAATATTACGATGACATTTGTAAAGTATACATATAAATCAGCATGAAGAGGCACTAACAGGCACCAACAGATAGGAAAAAAAAAATTCTGGAAAGACTGGTTATTTCTACAATCTGATCTTTATTTATTTTTTTTTGCTTATGTTTACTTCATAATATTATATGGCCATATACATACCTGAAATACATATATTTTTAGTTTTGTAAAAGGAAGTCTTTCTTTAAATATTTGAAAGAGACACATTTTAAAGCAGTCATCCCTTGAACTTGCAGTAAAAACTCAATACCCTAAAAATAGCTGTTGTTTTTATTGATTTTTGTTATTTCAGCTCCCAATATCTGAACTAATGCTATGATTCTTTTTTTGTTGTTGTTGGCTGGCCTATACAGGGATGTAGACCCTTGACACTGGTGTTATAACACCACACTCTAACCAACCGAGCTGACCAGCCAGCCAATACTATGATTTCTAAGTTTGTTCATGTATGTTGGATTTCTGCCTGTAAAAGAATAGGCTAAACATCTCCAACTAATGCCTTGTTTCACTGCTGTTGCTTCTCATGACTTATTGACCAACATACTTATCTTGCTTCTGAACCAGTCAGTTTAGCCATGATGCCCTCCAAATAGCTGCTGAATCTTCTTGTCCTGTTAGTCTCGCTTTGCATCAACATCATAAGAATAAAACCTGTAAGGCATAATGCTTATTACATTAACTCCATTACCCCACAGAAATCCCATGGACTTGGTATTATTTGGTCATAACCTAACAGTGCTTGCTATAATCAGATGATCTCTCCTTCCCATGAACTCACAAGCCATGCCATCTGACTTCTTAAATGACCTTTATTACACTATCTTAGTCCTATTCCTTTATAAGTTTATCTACCTTTATAGATAATAACAAACTTGAGGATAACAACCATGTCATCTTGGTCATTGTATTTCCTCCAAGTACAAGTACAGGATCTGGCATATTGTGAGTATTTCACAAATGTCTGACAATTTGACCTAGAAATTTACCCATAGGAAATATTTGTAAAAGTACACAAAGATGTATATGCAAGGAAGTTCATCAAACAGTAATTTATGACAACCAAAAATCAAATAGCTAAAAGTAGAAAACAAGTTGAATTACGTTCCACTATATGATAGCATATTACACAATTATTAATGATTAACGATAACGATACTGGTCTATATTAATGAAGAAAGATATTCATGATAAATTACTAGGTATGCAGACTAAAAAGAATATGCACAATGTTCGAAGGTGGTAGACTCTCATATATTAATAACACAGGCTTCATTGTCAGGATTCAGGATATGAATCTAAGTTCTGAGAGTTATTAACTATGAAAATAACAGTATCTACCTTACAGGGTTGTTGTGAAGGTTAAGAACATAATACATAAAAAGCACTTAACATGGTCTGTTATAAGCACTACATACAATGAAACACATTACATGCTTCTGATTTCATTATTATCTTTATAACTTTTAATTTTAAAATTTTAAATGTGTTGATTAATTATCTTTAATGATTTTAATACGAGGTTGTCCTTTCGCTTTTTTCTTAGAGTAAACTTCTTGAGATATTCAGGACTGCTCTTACAACACTAAATGATAATTTTAAAACTAGGCTTGAGAATTTAGTTCTTAATTAATAATATTAGCAAAAAAGATTCACAAAAGCAAGTAGAGGAAGGCCCCTCTTGCTCTCCACTCCTAGCAGCTCCAGGGAGACACTATTCTGCATCATAAAACCAGTTTGAGAAATTTTATTTGATAAAGCATTATATTAAATGCATTAAAAAAGCTCAATCAAGTTCTTCTGTCCAACAGGTCTGAATATTTATCACAACTCCTTTTTTTCCCCCCTGTTATTACAAATATGTCCTTAGGAGTAACCATGTATCACTAAAAAACTCTCTAATTCTGAAGGAATATCTTACTTGAGAATTTTCCCTGATAATTATTTTAATCAATGTCTCCATGATCTTAAAAGGTGTAAACTCTTGGGCCGGCCCAGTGGCGCACTCTCCAGGGTTGCGATCCTGTACTGGTCAGTAAAAAAGACAAAAAGGAAAAAAAAAAAAAAAGGTGTAAACTCTTGAAAGAGTTTTTGAAACTGCACCGCTCTTTACTCCCCACAGGCATAGTAATATAATAAAACCTATGACTGCACTGGATTCCTTTTACAAAGTATTGAAGAGTCTTTGTGTACTTAAACAATCGATTTTTATCATTCTATTTTGAAAAACAAACACATACACCAACACACAGAAAAAAAATGGAAAAACAAATATAAAAATAGTAATATTCATTAATCCTGGAAGTGGGACTATGGGCAATTAAAATTTTCTTCTTTATAAGTTCCTTAGGTCTCTATTTTTTTCTTTTTACAACAATCCTGCATTAATTCCATTACCGGAAACAAAATTTAAACTATTTTCATACAAGTAAAATTTAAAACAGAGTTGTGGAGATAGAGTACCTTCTAATTGTTAAGAAGATTGTGAGTCTGTAAGCCTCTGACATGAGTGGGTTAAAAAAAAATTGTCATAGCAGAAATAAATAACACTCATCAGTTCTTTAACTGTTCATCAAAATGATGGGCTACCTTTACTATCAAGACTTTTCTATGAATGAACACAATCAAGTATAAGGAGCATTCCCAAACTTAGTAAGTGCATACCAAAGTACACAGAACAGTATTTGGTATACAACAGATGCTTCATCCCTGCCTTTCACCACTTAATAACTTATTAAAATTTCATATTAGGGGCCGGCCCGGTGGCGCACTGCTACAATGCGCCGCTTGGGGGCGTGGCGGCGCTCCCACCGAGGGTTCGGATCCCACATACAGACCAGCAGCTCACTGGCTGAGCGAGGTGCGGGCGCAACACCGAGGGTTGCGATCCTGCTGCCAGTCCCGGTCCAGTACGGGCGCGACACTGAGGGTTGCGATCCGTTGCCGGTCACGAAAAAAGACAAAAAGAAAAAAAAAAAATTCATATTAGATATAATCTTTGCAAAATGTCTTAAAAACCCTAGTTTATTAAAAGGAATTCGTACTAAGGTTTCTTGAGTTGAGTTATTCTGTTCAAAACTGACTACTGCTTAAAGTTGATCGCATGCTTTTTTTCCTTCTCGTGATTAACAAAATATTTACTAATGGCCTAACACTGCATCACAAGGATGAAGTGTAGTTTATTTATTTCCTATTGTTAGGCACTAATTTTGTATAAGGTTATCTCAAAGAATATTCTCAGATATTACAATCTTTGATTTTAGGCCAGTGTATGTAACTCTTTTTGGGTCACACTGATAATCTCATTAAACTGTAGACTTACTCCCCAGAAAAATCACATATTAACAGATGCCATCTATATACCTTTTATGTACAGTTTCAA